CAAGTTGGTCATTATACAGCAGGCACATAGTAATACTCAGTCTCTCAGTACTCTGACAAATATGCCTTCACTGGATTTTTTCCGCGCATAGAAAGCGAGAAAAGAAGTGCCCAATGGCAAACTCCGCCCCAGCTCCTCCCACCTACGTCGTTGTATACTATTTACACCTTACTAAGTATAATTTAGAACTTTATTTTGGTATGTGCTCTTATATTCGGGAAGTACCAAGTTTTATATGAAAAAAATGCCATAAAAATCAGAAATTGGCATTTTGACATTTTCGCACCATCTTAGCTTCCCAATTTTGAGCCCTGAGATAAACACCAATTACATTTTTGGATACTACTTTGTATCCATTATATGAAGAACAAGCTGTAGTCCGAAGGAGTTTTCTGAAAGGAGATTTGATTTTTTGGTTAGCTGAAAAATTATGATTTTTGGCCCCAAAATTTGCCTAGATTATGACCAGGGTTGAGCGTGAGGTCAGGCGCGCCCGACCTGGGGGGTCGTCTTGAGGGTATGACTGAGGGGGGGGGGGATCGTAATTAAGAGCCGAATCTGTTTAGTGGGGGAAATACTACGAAGGTGAAGAAGAAATGCGATAGTCCGGTGGATATCGCAATCACCAGCACTGAAGGAATGACGGCCGTAAACAGCATACTGATCGTTTCCACAATCGAAATTTCAGCCAAATTCAAATCTTAATCTTTAACCTTCACATATCGTGAGGTCGCCAAGTAAGCTTGCTGTGTGCAATAGGTATTATTTCCGTAATCAGCATGTCAGATTACCTTTAGGAGCTCTAAAGTCATTACCTACCGCATTTTCTAGTGTTTCGCAACGTCTAGAAAGCGTGATTTTCAAACATGATTAACTTGGCTTTAGAAGTGAAAGTAGTCAGTCTTTTTATACTCATAACAAAGTAACGTTCCCTACAAGTCTATGCTAGAAATCAGGCTTCATATCGCTTTCAAATAGTGAAGTAAGAAGTGCTGCAATTTCGACGGCGAGCCGGCGCGTTCTTCACATCAAGTGCTTTAACTCTGCGGATTACTACAAGGCCGAAACAAGTCGAAACAAGCTCAAACGCTTATTGTGGAATCTTCGAGAGTTGTGCTAGCGAATCACATAAAACTTGGATAGAAAAGCTTCCTCGAAAATAAAGTTAAGGGGGTCAGGCGCAACCCCTCAAAAGGTCAGGCCGCCTGAGCTTTTGAGGGGTTGCGCCTGACCCCCTTAACTTGCCTTCAGTACACTAATCGCTCCTTTTTTAGTGTGAGTATTAAGCGCAAAGCCTCTTCTTGCCATATTGAAAATTTGGAGCCAAACACTTCACCCCTTCAAAAACTGTAACTCTGAAAATATGGCCATCCGAGTCCAAAATTTGCCGTCAAGTTGCGTGTGGTTGTGCAATCGCAGAAAGTTGGGCCTACGGCCAAAAAACAAGAACCCTCCAGTAAAGGCTGGTCTTCTTCATAATATCACAGTCTAAGGTCCTGGAGGTGAGGCGGAGGGATCATTTTAGGGGCTTTCACAGGGGAGGGGGGTCGTTTTTGAAGGACTTGTGCCTGACCTCTTGCTCAACCCTGATTATGACTCAGGTGGATTTTTGGTGGTCTTTTTGTAGAGCTTGCTCCGCTCTATCGAAAGGCATCTTAAGTCTGTTAGGAAAGTAAAAAGAGCTGAGTTTATTTGCAATTGGAGTTTGCCTTTGGAATTTGGGGCAAAATAATATAAGAAGGGAGAAGTTTATGAAGTTTTGCAACATCTTTTTTAAGTGCACACTATTCGTATCTTTCAGTTATCAAACCGTATTCAACTCTTAGCGGTAAACTGTTTCGTATATGCTGAACCTCTTTGATCTCTAGTTCATTCTGAAGCGATCACGAAAATCGAACTCGGATCAAACTGCTACAAGATGTTATTGAAACTTCCTGCAGTTTTGCAGCTGAAACTCTAATTGGTACGGCATGATTCATAAGCTTGGTAGATAACAAGCTTGCTTTTTTCTTAGTTTTCCAAATTGGTGTCTCTTGGGTAATGGTTGACCAATTTGTTGTGTGTAGTGTAGTATATTTATAGGAAATTTGAATCATTTGTCAATTTTTGTATAGTGCCTTGAACAACTTAAGAATTCCATGTGACAGTGACGTGAGGTAGTAAAGAAATCTTCTCGTAGCTTGCAAAAAGGAAATGAGAAATATGTGATTGTTCAAGCGTGTACTTTAAAAGAAATTTTAATGTACCAGATGCAAAATGTAATGCATTCTTTACTTTGCATTTTAGAGGTTCTTTTTCTCCCGCCCCGCTTGGATCAAAAAACCATTGAAAATGCTGAATTTGTGCCAGAAAGTTCTAGCAAAGTCTGGTTTTGATCTTTTTTCTTGAGCCACTGCTCAAGCGAAAAGCCTTGTAACAGCAGTTTTATTGCGTAAAGTTGAACCAACATCTGTTCCAATAAACCACAAAACTGCTATGACAGCTATTCTGCTTTATGACTTTGTATGCAAGATGTATGTATAGGAATAGATCATCTTCTCGACAATTTCACTCTTTGGCTGGAGGATCCTGGTCTTCATTACTAATTTGTCTTACGGACTCGTTGCAAGTTCAATTTGGCTAAGTGCGTCTGCTTATAGCTACGCCCGCAAAGCTTCTCGTATTACTAGAACATCATTTTTGATTCGCGTTTTTTGTAAGAACATTTGCTGCTTGATCACTGAACAAACTATAGAAGGTCTTGTACACAATGTTATAAATATTATAATTAATGCAAAATCGTCCACATAATGTGCTTGATTTTTTATTAGACCGTCCAAGTAAATCCTTTTCTGTATAGATCGAACCGTATTCGTTTTGCTAACAAATTTGGGATACTTTTTTAGGAGCAAAGCAAACTCTACAAAATTGTGAAGTTTGGAGACAAAGAGTTAAAATCTGGAGACAGGTTCGAAAAATAATCATCACGACTTTTGCAAAAATGCAAGGCTGATTGATCGTGATAGAGAAGATCCATAGTCGTATTCATAGTGCGTTTGCTAAAATTTTTCGCTCATAAAAATGGAACTGAAGAAAGGCAAACTTCGCTCCTGTCTCCTCCTTCACATGTGACTGTATACCCTTTTTATTGTGCTCTAATAATCAAGAAATACCAAGTTCAACTTTGAAAAATCCAAGAAGTGGTATTTTCACATTTTCGGGCTACTTTTTATTTTTATTAGTTTTGAGCTGCGCAAGAAATCCATAAATGTATCTATGACTATTACTATGTCTACTGTACTGTCTTTGTTCACTGTATGGCGTTTAAGTCGAAGGTCCACAGGGATTACTGAGAAGGAGATCTGATTTTTAGGGTGGGAAAAATCTGTTTTTTGCCCCAAACTTTACCTGGATTAGACTTAGGTGTATCGTTGATGGTCTTTTGTAGGGCTTGCTTTTGTCGAATAGTACTCTAAATCTGCCAGGATTCAAAACATTTATTTGGAAAAGGGATGAGTTTCAGAACAAACTGGTGATATATCATCAAAGTGTTCTATACCAAACCGGTAAACTCAAAAGTTAGAATTTTTGCTAGCATTGCGAGAATGAGAAACAAAAAAATAGTTTAGGCACAAAAAAATTACTGTTAGTTGACTTGAGCTGGAACACAATAATTTTCCATCATGGATGGATTTGTTTACTGATTTTGTGGTGAATTTTCGTAGCTCCGCTTCTATGTTCTGCTTTTTAAAAGCATGAAAATTGCAGGAAATGTAGTTTTACCTACTTCTTGTGGCACATGTGCTTGTGATGTAGCTGCTGATCAAAAACCATCTCATACTCTTCTTAAGGAAACTTGTAGGTTTTTCGCGAACAGAGAGGGGCCGCACTGTGCTTTGATGGGCCATGCAGGCACTATGAAATCGCAAATAAGGGAAATAATACTTGAAAATAAAATAAGGAAATTGATACTTGATTTAGCTAAAAGCCTGCATCATTTCACTGTGACGGCTGAAGATCGCGTAATCACGAAAAATTCAAGATCTGAGCTTTGAGATCTCGGCGTCATTCGGGATTTGCTATAGCTGACAATGACTGAGAAAGCATTTTAAAATAATCAAGTTGTTTGACAAGCAGTTTTGAACCTTTAAAGCTGAGAACCGGTCTACCTCTCACCTTATTCAAATAGTCAATGATAGTCATTGGTGAAATTCGGATCTTGCATCTTATGAAGCCTTTTCTTCTTGGACCTTTGTCACGCCTTAGGTAATGAAAACAGTTTCAGTATATCTTTTGCTCTTTGTTTCTCCATATAACATATTGGCTCTCGTGATTCCATAAGTACAATATTAAGTTGAGCAGTAGATTTTTTTAAATTATGAAAATGGGCTCATTTTGTGACTGCTCCTGTGCTCTTCTGCTGACGTCTTCCAAAACTACCTTCTCATATCTCCAAAAATACTTTTTCTACTATGGTTGTAGGACCATTTCTCTCCCGGAATAAACAAAAGCTTGGAATCATCGTCGTTTCTGCAAAGTTCACTATTCCATTTAATGGACTGCCTCTCAAATTCTTGCTTTTACGCTGGAACTCGCTCAGTAAGAGCTTGAAAACGTAGGAGGTGCATGATCTAGGAGGATCAAAATTTTACTTTCAAAAACAAATAGCCTACCACAGGATTTTCAAAACTAGGAAAAAAAGATCTTTGATGTTGCACGCATTCCACTTGCATGTTTGTTGAAATCTTGGCTAGATGTGGTCTAGGCATCCTAAAAAATGCTAGTTGCACTATCCCTTTGGCTAATGTTTTGTCGACTGGATGAGATGACGTACTACTCAGTCTAAGAAAACACTATAAACTAGATGGATGTCTCCCATAGAAGTTACGCCCATGAGAAACTCTATATATTTGATTCAAACTCTCACCACCTTCAGAAAAGTGTACTTCTTATTCAAGCTGAATATTCGTAATGTCAGAGTATGTTTATATGAATGTTTTCGTTATTACTAAAATAAGTCTGTTTCAGATCATCGATCAGAATGTTCTATGACGAAAGCGCTTTGGGTGATCGAAAATCGGTGAGCTTCTTATTCCTTTCTTGTGATGTGCGGTGTTTGAGATGTCCCTATCTAAATGGAACCCTTGAGATATTTAAAACCTTTGCTAGTTAGGCTCAAAACCCTCTTTAGTTATTCCAACAATACTGCATGCTGGAGCAACCAAGTAACCAACCACATAGAACCCACTGAGGTCTCATTTACAGTAAATCAATCCTATGTTCTGGTATGCAAAAATCTAACAAATTTTGCTGATTTATAGCAGTCAAATGCAAATCTAGGAACGGTACATACCATGGCTAGCTTACTTCAATGCATCCTTTTGAGGGCTCTTAATTTTACTCCATATGATAAACAACGTCTTACGAGTGCAGCTCTTTGTAACTTGATCCCTGTCTAACAGAGACGGGTATTTTGAAAGAGACGTTCAGCTTTTAATGTCTCATCTTGAGGTTACTCAACTTTCCTGAAAAGTTCCACAGAATGAAACTGCACATCATGTTTTTCTAAGAATACAAGGCTAGAGGGGCCTTAATTAACGTAATGGGATAGATCTTTGTGTTACAAAGGAAGTCTTCTTTGCTCTTTAGCTTGCACTATTTGCGCACATCAGTAACTTCCTTATGGACTCTTCAGTGCGGCTACAAACATGAATATGCCATCTTCTCAGAATTATGTTGAAATAAATTGCAATCATTTTTTCATTAAAACTCCTTTAAAAGTATACACAAAGGTAAAAAATGGGTTGCAGCTTATTTTCCCTGAACAGAATTTGCCTGCGATTGTGGAATCATTTCATGGAGTTTATTCTATGCTTTCAAATCTTTACCTCTATGTGCACAACTTTTTAGATCTTCACAAAAGTTTTTTCTGTTTTTTATATGTATTAAATTCTGTAGAGCAGAATAAACAAATTCCAAGTCGATGCAGCTCCTCTTCCTCTTTTTCGTTGAACTTTTCACAAATCAGTCTAAAAGTTTCTGACTTCGGATTAGATATGTGCCATACAGGTTTGGTAAGTGGTCTGTATTCCTAGTAACGGTCCAGCATTTCGACGTTTTCGTATTCGTCAGTAGCCTGATACTTGTTATGGAAGTTATACTCCACCACAATTACTTCGCTTAAAAGCACCATCCACCAGTTGAGGGTCTTGAGCTTTTGGCGACATTCGATAGTGGGGCCTCCTATCAAGCAAATGCCCAAGTCGCAGTGCAAAATGCCGCTTCGGAAGCGCGAAAATCGCTCCGGAATAACGAAGATGCACGAGGACCCCTATCCATGTCCGCCCCTCCCCATCCATGCCCGCCCATTTGTGCGCGCCCATCCAATCACCGTTCTGAAAAGCCGGCCTGTGGGTTCTCTGGAACGGGGATTGTCGGAGTTTTCGCGGATTCTCGACTTCGTATTCGGAATCAGGGATATGAGAAGGCCCTGAAACGACAAAAATCTGGAAGACTAGAATCTGGGTGGACGGTGGCTTTAAATTGTGCTTACATTCATCACCACTATTTCAGAAAAACCGAGGTAGTGAAAAACTAGAGCACAATTCCCATCGGATGTTTTTGTAAAGCTACCGCTCATCAAATTCTGAGGTTTTTATGAGATGCCTTTTGAAACTGCAGATTTTCTAGTAAGGCGAGTGACCACTAACTGTGGCGAGAATAGAAAATTAGAATTTGAAGGTCTAATTATCACCAAGCAGTTGTCGGTATGCTAATATTTGAGCCAAAAGAATCAGATCATTTGACTTCTGAGTACTATTCATTAAACAAAGAAGTGAAGTTTTTTTGTTAATAATTATGGCAAATCGCGAAGAAAATATATGAAGTCTTGAAACATCAATTAAGTTGAGTAAAGTGTTGATAATGTGCTGTCAGCTTCGGATTTGCTTATTCTGAAAAATTGTCAAAATGCGAAAAATTTGGAACAACTTAAAATGTCCTTTAGCCATAGCTGCTATTATCGTGTACATATTTTGGATGTTTATGATTATACCAAATCTTTAGGTGTAGAATCTTCTCAATTTTTGTTGAAATAAGGTTTTTTTGTTTATTATTCGTTTTAAGGACTTGCACTTTTTAGGATTTGCACAGAAGTAGCAAGACGTAGATATATCTAGTTAGAATATCATTCTAAAAAACTGCTCTGAAATTAAAAGTCGGACTTTTTGCTCACGCCAAGACATCAGCCAGTTCATTCGCATGTGCTTGAGCGTGATGAGAGTGCTTGGAAATTTGATACCATCCTCTCAACGACACCAACTGAGCCAGTCGTTCAGCTTACAAAATTTCAAACCCGTGAACCATTTGTTCCGTCTAAAAAACCTTCCCTCAAATCTATAAATTTCAGTTCTTAAAAAATACCCGAATATATTTTTTCCTGGTTGAATAATGTGGCGAATATTTGTGCCAAGGCTTTAGCCAATTTTCACTTAATCTGTTAATAGATTATCGCTCAATTTTCTACGAAAAGGACAAAAATTTACGCCAAAGTCGATTTTCATCGTAGTGTTAGTGTGTTTTCTTCAAGATGAGTGAAGTTTCGGGTTGAGAAGAGGACTCTCCAGTTCGCGAATCCTTTCCTCCTTTTTACCGTAGTAGTCGGCATGTGTGAATATAAGAAGGTAATAACCGACCTGTTTGGGTCTTTGAACTTTATAGAAAGTATTGTCATTGTGCCAAAAACATTTGCAAACTAATATCCTACTCATCTAACCTTGCCATTATGGCAATGTGTTAGAAAATTTTTTTTATTATGGGTAGAAGTTTTCCTTTTTCAATAAGATAACTTCGATAAACTTGATAAGATAACTTTTAGTGGATTCAGATTTGAGTTGGAAAAACGATCGTTATCTCAATATTTCAAAGTTTTGCAAAAATTGTGCGCTTTTATACGAGCATATATTCTATAGAGTAAAAAAAGATTTTAAGACCAAAAAAGCTCACGGAAGCGTTTTTGTGTCCCCCCCCCCTCCCCACATCCCCTACTCACCATCTATCATTCTCTCCTCTTAGGGCCGCATGCACTAACCTCCCCGCTGGGAAGGGGATCGCAGCCTAAAAGAAAGCTTTATATTTCGAAACTCCAGATACCTGGATTTCAGTGTACCTATCCGTAAGCATTCCTACTACCCTTCACTATGAACATGTTGAAGAGGAGCGAGAAGCTGTACGAACCGCATTTTTCCAGCTTTTGTATGATCCCTGATGATCCCCGGCGCTTTTCTTGAAAGTCATTTTTCTTTCTCCGAAGTTAACGAAAACCTTCCAAAGTTGTACTGAACATCTAACACAACAGTGCTAAGCATGTTGCTGATGAGAACAAATGAGTTTTTAAAAAGTCGAATTTTTCGATAAACCTCAAATTTCGACCTGTGGATCATCGAAAATTTCATGACTTCAAAATATCATTTGTTTCTATCAGCAACTTGCTTAGCACTGTCGGTTTAGATAATCTGCACAACTTTGGAGGTTTTTCGTTAACTTCGGAGAAAGAAAAATGACTTTAAAGAAAAGCGCCGGGGACCATCAGGGATCATACTAAAGCTGGAAAATGCGGTTTGCACAGCTTCTCGCTCCTCTTCAACATGTTCATAGTGAAGGGTAGTAGGAATAGTTACGGATAGGTACACAATGTGAAATCCAGGTATCTGGAGTTTCGAAATATAAAGCTTTCTTTTAAGCTGCGATCCCCTCCCCGCGGGAATTTTAGTGCATGCGGCCCTTAGTGAACATTTTAACAAGGAGGCTATGCTAATTGGTATGATACAGCCATTGTTTCTTTTTTGTAGAATTCTGATAGATATCTCAAGAAGTACTTTCAAAGGAAACATTTCAAGTGTGAAAAGGAAAAAATCTTATGCGTTATGCTTGCACATCTTCTTGCATGCTTGATCCCTTCACTTAAAATTAGTTCCTTCTCAAGCGCAATTGTTGGCAGCTTGCCAAGCTTCTGCACTCCTTTCTCACAGCTTTGCTAAGTACATAAGAGCTCTTGAAATATTGGGAGTATCGTAAGTGCGCTTGAGAAGTTCAAAAACTATGCAAACTATACGAGTTGCAAGTCATCTTTAGCCTTCGCAATGCTTAGTGTTAGGGTAGTATAAAGATTTATCACAATTTTCTTGATCTTTTGGGTTGTAGTTTCTTATTCTTTAGAAAAAGAAAAGCTCGGAACTTTGCCTAGTACGGCCATCTATTGCTGACACTAGATCATATCACTGGTTTGAAGCTTTTGAATGACTTTACAATTGCTTGGAATTTTTCTGTACTTCTGTCTTAGCCCTACGTATGAAGAATTTCTTTACAGTTTTCTTGGCTTCAAAACATCTCAAAACTCAAACGTAGGCTCTAGAGCTGTTTCAGAGCTCAAAATATCATTCTTATAAATTCGGTTGGCCATTATGTGCACATGCCATCGTGATATGAATTTTCCTTCTTAGAGAAAACATTCTAGATTTATTTATTTGTTTGTAATGCGCATATCTCAATATTTTTAATTTGCTTGGAAATCCGAACTAACCACCAGGACCCGGCACAGATCGTCTGGAAGCAGGCTGGACTTCGTTTTTGAAGCAAACAGCAAAGGAGATATCGTTTTTGCGGAGGTCAGGGCCGAGCACCAAGAATGAGCGCCATTTAGTCGAACACAAGCTTTTCGAACAGGTTATCACACGATTTCCTTCTCTATCGTGTATGGCGCAAAGTGCGCGCGATTTGAAAGCAAGGCTTAATCAATTGACGACGATGTGGACCACCGGTGGCCCACACCCTTTGCAAAAACATGTCCTTCCCAGGTCTAGTGCATATCTTCTCCACAATTCAGTATTTTCTCCAGTTTTTTACACTGTCGGAACCCGTAGACTCCGTCGGCCAAGAAGATGTTGTAGTTGATTACATAACAACTTTACATTTTGTAAAAAACCATAGATCATTCCCGCGCCGAAAATGTTGTGCAAAATCGCGTCGTCCTACAGCGCCGCCAGCAAAATTAGGCGTCGTCGTCAATGGGTTAAATGAACA